AACAATATATTAATATATGAAAATATTTGAATACAAATTAGATGAAACAATGTAACTTTTAATGTATACACTCACAGTATGAGCTGCAGTGGGTTTTGCGAGTACAAACCGTTGTAATTTATCTCTAAATAAGATTTAAAAAAAATAGTCCAGTAAATGACTGCAAAAGAGTATGAGTAGTGAAGAAAAATATATTCCTCCACCCCTGATTTTTTGGAAAACCTATGACACATAAGCATTCCTGGATTACACCAATTAATTCACCATAATTAATCAGGCTTATGTAAATACAGAAACCTCTTAGGGTACTATATGTGCTTTTGTAATTAAAAAGGAGGGACCAAAATCTTCAAATTTCATGTTTGTAAAATGGCTCCTTCCAGTGGCAAATAAGAAAGTGCATCAAGTTTTATTCAAATGTCAGTATTAAAATAAAGATAAAGATGAAAAAAAATAGCAATTAATTTTTTTCACTCAGTCATATGATTTGGTATTTATATATTTTTTTCTGTCAGTACAAAATCAGACTCTCTAGTTTTGTGTCTGAATAAAATAAAATAAATAAAATAGTGAGTTGGCAGTTCTGATCTGATGAAATAATAATAGTCTGATCTGATTAAATAAAATAATTCATCTTTCTCGTTCTCATGCAGGGAATGTGTGATTTATTTTTTTTGGTCTGTCCGATATCACTGTGAACAGTGATAAGCTCAATATTTTCCTTTCAAACCCCATATTATAACCCCCCCCCAAAACCCATCAAAATACATAATTCCTTTGGAAAACAGAGCACACTCCCACAGCGCTTTCACGTCTCGAAATCTCACAAACTGATTACTCAGCCTTGATATATTCTCTCGTTTAAATGCTATTTTAAAAAGAGAAAAATTATCATAATTTCCCACTAATTACAGATGTAAGAGTAGAACTGGCACCTTAGCAACAGAATTTCTTACAACCCATGTGTGCATTTCTAATGTTACCCCAGATAGAACATAAAACATTAATGGGGGCAGGATTCTTTGCAAGCTGGTGATGAAATTATGGTGTAACCTTTATCAATGTACCAGAGTCTTCATGGCAGCGAAGCAAGGATGGATATCACAAAACAGCTATTCCTACTGCAAATGTTGTTATAATGACAAATCACAAAGAATGAAATGAAAAAAAAAGGGAAACGTTGCTGAAAAATAAAACATAAAATGTTTTCCTCTGACAGATGTGAAAGGCACTAGTCTGCAGCGGAGTGTCATTGATAAATAGAGGGCACTCAGAATCTGAGAACGACCTCATTCTTGTTCAGAAAACACACAATTATATAATGTATATTTTACAATATACATCTTCAGCATGCGCATTTAGGACATAAAAATAAACTTTATTCAGAAATAAGTTGAAACTTGATGTAATCTGGAAATATTATTAATTGTATATTTAATTTAATTTCATGTCTTGTGTGCATGCAGATTGATCATCTATTTAATTAAGAAATCGTAAGGTTGAAGAAGATCAAAAAACCTAAGACCCCGGTAACAGGATGAGAAAAGCAGCGAGAGACCAGTATTCACTTTGACTTGGCAACAGGGCAAGAGGTGGTTCAATCAGTTGTAGTTAGTTTCACACAGTTAGAAGTGTGCAGTGGATCTAAGCATGAGCTTGTATCAGAGTTTTAATGTAATGGAGTGTGAAACTAAAATGTCAGATATGTGATCTAAAAATGCATGCTTTAATATTTCAGCATTTCTCACAATTAGGCATTTTTCAGTATTTAAAGATTATCTAAACTAAATTTACTGCAAATGATAATGCATTGAAATAAAATAAGTATCAATTTATTATATGTGTACATTGTATTATTTGTGATTTTAACACTATTGCAAAAAGCAATTGCAGAACAGGGCATGGTCATACTACTCACTAGCGAACATTTCTCAAGGTGGTTCAATTCTGTATAGAAAAAAAACTTTACAGTCTTGGTTGCAAAAACAGCTACTAAACCTTTCCACCAAAAAACAAAAACAAAAAAACAACTATATATGGATATGAGATGCCCCCAATGGCAGAGCATGTAGTCACACCATATGATGCAAGTTGTCAGTGAAACCTGCCATAAAAAATCTATAAGAGCAAAATTTGCACAGTAAAAAATGAATAAAAAAATAAAGTGAAACCATAAAACAATTCATGAAACAGAAACAACCATAAAACAATTAACAAAACTCAAAGCAGAAATGTAAAAGAAAACATAAATACACTAAAGGTGAAGTAAGATTTTTTTTCATATATATATATTTTTGAGAAAAGACACTTATGCTTACCAAAGTTGCATTCATTTGATCACAAATACAGTAAAAACAACAATATTAGTACAATATAAAATAACTTATATTTGAATATATTTTAAAATGTAATATATTCCTATGATGACAAAGATGATGATTTATTTTATTTTTTTGCAGCCATTACTCTGGTCTTCAGTGTCACCTGATATTTCAGAAATCATTCTAATATGCTAACTTGCTGCTCAAGAAAGATTTATTATTATTATCATTATTGAATACAACTTAATATTTTTTGCAAAAAACAGGATACATTTTTCATAATTCTTCAAGTTCAACAACTTTTATTTTAAATGGAAATCTTTTGTATCAGTGTAAAAGTGTCTTTACTGTCACTTTAGATAAATTTAATTCCTGCGGAATTAAGTATTAATTTAATTTAAAAATCATACTGACCCCAACATACAGTATATATACAGTCATGGCCAAAAGTTTTGGCAGTGACATACATTTTATGTTTTGCAAAGTTTGCTGCTTAAGCTGTTGTGGTGTTCGTTCACATTGTTTCTAGATTATTGTGTAGAGTGATCAGATGCATTTGAAATAATTGCTAAAAGCTTCATTGGCCAAAAAAATGAACTTCAAATTTCACAGTTTTTTGATCCTGACACAAAATTACCAGCTAACATTAACCGACTAATCATATCAGCAGCACATGTGAAAGTGTGAATGAGTAGTCGGGTTAATCACTATCATACTAAATAGACTGTAAGAGCAGACTGATTGCTATAAAATGAGGGAAGAAGCGCTTCCAATCATTGTGTTCTTGTTAGCAATGGTTACCTCCAAAGAAACAAGTGCAGTCATCATCACTTTGCAAAATGGCCTCACAATCAAGGAAATTGCTACAAAGAATATTGCACCTGAAAGAACCATTTACCGGATCATCAAGAACTTCAAGGAGAGAGGTTCGACTGCAGTGAAGAAGTCTTCAGGACGTTCCAGAGTGTCCAGCAAGCACCAGGACCGTCTCCTCCTGAGGAGTCAGGGAGAAGGATTGTTCGGAGAAGAAAGTCAAGTCAAGCCAAAGTGATGTGTCTTTAATCTAGATTTAAACAGAGAGAGTGTGTCTGAACCCCGAATGTTATCAGGAAGGCTATTCCAGAGTTTGGGAGCCAAATGCGAAAAAGCTCTACCTCCTTTAGTGGACTTTGCTATCCTAGGTACTACCAAAAGTCCAGAGTTTTGCGACCTTAGGGAGCGTGATGGATTGTAGCGTGGTAGAAGACTAGTTAGGTATGCAGGAGCTAACCCATTAAGGGCCTTATAGGCAAGTAATAATATTTTGTAACTGATACGGAACTTAATAGGTAGCCAGTGCAGAGACTGTAAAATTGGGGTAATATGATAATATTTTCTTGACCTGGTAAGGACTCTAGCCGCTGCATTTTGGACTACCTGTAGCTTGTTTATTGAAGATGCAGGACAACCAGCTAGCAGTGAATTACAGTAGTCCAGTCTAGAGGTCAAAACTTCTGCCCAAAACATCCTGCAAGAGCGATTCATGAGCAATTTGGTGATGATCCGTGCATTTTCCAGCATGATGGAGCACCATGTCACAAAGCACCATGTCATAAAGAAGTGGCTCGAAGATCATTACACTGAAATTTTGGATCTGTGGCCAGGCAACTCCCCGGATCTCAATCCCATAGAGAACCTGTGGTCAGTCCTCAAAAGGCGAGTGGACACAAGCAGAAGCCCACAAATTGTGATCAATTCGGAGAACTAATAAGGCAAGAATGGATCGCCATCAGTCAGAATTTGGCCCAGAAGCTAATATCCAGCATGCCTGAGTAAATTGCAGAAGTTATGAAGAACAAGGGTCAACACTGTAAATATTGACTCATTATATATATATATATATATTTATTTTATTTATTTTTTGCCAATAAAAGCCTTTAAAACTTATGATATGCTTATCATTGTTTTTCAGTATACCATAGAAACAAGTGGAAAAATAATCTATAAATACTGAAGCGGCAAACTTTGCAAAACACAAAATTTATGTCACTGCCAAAATTTTGGCCATGACTGTACATTTAAAATGCATTTAAAATAAATGTGACAACTTGCCCCAAACTGACATCCTTGTCCAGAAAACACAGTTCAGCCCTTCAGTTAAATATCCCTTCATTCTATGTCTACATGACACCTGTCTGAATGTGTGCTAGATATCCAGCAGCTACAGAATAAATATGATGATAGTCTAATTTTAGTTTGGAGGGCAGAGTTCACCCCCACACACAAAATGTAAGACATCTTTGAACGGAATGTTTGAAACCAGCGTACAAAATCACAGCTAGAGCAACACATACATTTGTGTAATTGGACTTTTGACTGGAAACCCTGTTGTTCCTGAGAAACAGTCTTTGTGACAACTTCTCAGTGTGACAACTAGCCCCGGTCTCCCTTATACAGAGGTGGATGTGTGGTGCAAATCAGAACAAGCTAATGAGTGTTTTTACAGCAAATGTCTTGACTTTTTTCTCTCTTTTGCAAACAATGGTCTTAAAGATGAAACCTCATTATACATGTCCAATGCATAAACGGATCAGGACAAATGTGGCAACAAAGTTTCAACTCGGGCAACATTCCAGCAGGTCTGATGCAACAGGGCTGCAACAAGAGTTACATCTCCATAGTGTAATATAGTGTCCTTCCTCGTCGCATGTGGTTAACTAGTGCTTTATAAGGGTCTCTGTGCTTAGATCTGTGCCTCGATATACACCCAGTCTGGTTTTGGCAATCTGGACCCACTTTAATAATCATTAGAATTTACTTATCGATTACATTTCAAAAGGAAATACATTTCTAAAACGCGAATGCAGTGAACTTTAATCGAGATCAAGCGGGACATCAAAGAGTTTTGCTGACTGATATTTGGACTCGAGGCTGAAGTTCGGATTGAACTTGAGCCGTCAGTTTGGACTCTGCGCTGAGGGGCGCGGCGGCGGATGGATACGAGCTCATGTGATGCGGTTACTGTTTGGTTTGACGTGATACTCCTCTGTTCTCCAAAACTTTTGAACGCTTTATCGTGTAACCGATCAGTGTCGACATCAAATGAAGAAGAGTGAGACAATGTTCTACTAAATTGAAAACGTGAGCTCCTCCATTGCGATTTACTGCGCTCACAGAAGCACTTCAGACCGGACCACCTCAGCACGATGGAGTAAGTGTCAACTTCCATTCAGACTTTTATATGAGCTGCAACTTCCTGTAACAGTGTGTATCTCAGTTTAACTCGTTTTCAGAGTTTCTGAACTACAAGAAAGCCCTGCAGAAATGTATAGAGATGGGGTTTAATCACGACGTTTTGTTATAACTTTGTTTGAAATTGCACTTAAAATAGCTTAACTGAGTTTCTACATATTTTCTGTACAGTTAACAAGCTTCTTTTTGAATAATTTAGTGTAATGCTCTATTTTCAGATGCCTTTGAGTGGGTTTATGAAACGTAATACTCTTTTTGTGTTTTTTTTATTACATTTAATTACAGTATAAACCTGCTTTTGAATTTTGAACTGTAAAAATATTTTGTAGTAAATATTTTAAGGCTTTCCTTTAACCTCTATTTCACATTTAGCACTGAACTTGACTAGAGGTATCATATAACAGAATGACAATTGAGCTCTAGCAAAAGGTCAAATTCAGATCGAAATGTTTAGATTAATTTTTTATTTAAATTATTAGAACATATTGCACTCTATCCTATCAATTCAGTCAATTTTGTTTAAAATAATTGATTTATGTTATTAATAACTTTCATGATAGTCTATGAACCTGAGTTTTTAGTAGGAAAATAGTGCAATTCCATAAAAGGAAATGTTTTTATAAAAGGAAAAAAATTTGACACCTGGAAAGCGGAATTAACGATTGCATTTTACCTTTTTTCAATTTTCATATAGGTTTCAGTTTTTCGCATCTCTTTCCTGTATGAGGCATTTCTTCGATTCTCATGCATTGTACGCAATTCACCATTTCAACCGAAATACAGCAAATTGTGGCGGCATAGATTATTCCCAGGAAGACTCCCCTCATTTGCACAGCCGGCTTAAGAGCTCCCTCTTTCCTACTGGCTAACGAAGGCCAATCATAGGCGGAGGGAGGAGTCTGCACAGACGTAGGACTAAATTGGTAAGCAGTACGACACTTTTATTTTGTCCGATTGTTGGTGGGAACCGCACTGCAGCATATGTGTTAATGGCGTACAGTAAGTAAAGCAAATATTTTGGTGATCCACATCGTTTCATCTTTTTTTATTGCTACTTGCATATATTGTTCAATTGAAAATGATATAGATATTCATAGACCAATTATACTTTTGCGCAAACACGCATGTTGAAAATATTTCATCTGTATGTTCGTATAATGCTTTTATTGAATTAATTGGATGGTTTTTCTCTACAGATTGGATGACAAAAACTTTTGACGCTTACCCAAACTCAACTTCCACGGAATCCTCTCCTGGTTCCTCTATCCCACCTTCACCTCTGGAGCATGATGTCCAAATGCCCTCCGACTTGGAGGTTATGACCACTCTTCTTAAAGAAGAACTGGCTCAACTGGAGGATTATTACCTGTATGAATCGACACCTATGAAATTGGAGAAATGGCAAAAATGTGACAAAAGCTTACAAGCTATGGCTACACAGTCATACTATCAGTTGCCCTGCGCTTCGTACAATGTAAACCAACCTGAAACAAATCCCAGGCTGGTTTCCCTGGCAACTGGAGATCTCGACCTGCGAGGCTTCTGTGGGGGCTCCATGAGCCGACCGAAAGTGTCTCGACCCGGCCCCTACAGCTACATTCGGACACACTGCAATAGCCAAAGAATATCAGCGAATGGATGTAAAGACGTCGAGGTGTTTGAGAAGGAAATGTGGACTTTCAAAGGGACTCATTCAGGTTACGCAGAGTTGGCTTTTGACCAGTGCTCTGTTGACAAATCCTACGGAAAGAGCCAGGCGAGCACAAAGAAGGTTCGAGAATGTGCCATACTGTTGAAGGAAGAAGAAAAAAGTTGCTTCACGGAAGATGTGTTTTACCGAGCGGAGATGATGAGAAGTTACGATCTCGGTGGGTCCCTGGAATCCCACCACAGGCGAGAGGGCCAGAGCCATGGGATGAAGATGCTCAGCCACGACGGGATTGCGATGCCCATTTTGCAGTGCACCGAAAGCGAGAGCTGTCCACCGTATAAACAATCCGAAGTAGCCGAGTGCTACTTTCATCAGATTACTGCCAATTTAGAGCCATATCACGGCTTCATGAATGAAATCGATCAGCCAATCAGAACTGGGGCTGTTGATATCCAGAATAATGACTACTTGCACCACGATTGCCTTGGGGATCAAAGCTTTGAATGTCTGTCCGGAGACAGTGTTGGGTCCTCTTTGGAGTTGCCTGTCCAGAAACCACTACAACGGTCACGGGAAAGTCAGTGTGTTTTTAAACCAGATGTTAAAGTAGGTTCCTTGGAGAGAAACCACGGAGAACGCAAGCAGAAGAAGAGGGATCAGAACAAGTCCGCTGCCCACAGGTACTGTACCTACTTTTTTTCCTTTTAAATCTGTGTTTTTGGTGACAAAGTGCTCAGTTAGTCCAATGAGTGTGTTAGAATATTGCACGAGTTAATAAAAAAGTAAGCGTGTTTGCTTCAAACGAGCAGAAAAGCTGAACCATGTTATTTTATTCCACAAATGTTGCCTAAAAAACAATAGGTATCGTCAGCGTAAGAGGGTGGAGCTGGACTGTTTGGAGGAGGAGCTTCATGGTTTGGAAGGGCGGAACAGAGAACTTCGGGACAAAGCAGAATCTGTAGAGAGAGAGATTCAGTATGTGAAAGATCTCCTGATTGAAGTCTACAAGACTCGCAGTCAGCGCTTAAAAGAGGATTCCAGTGCCTAAACCGTCTCTTACCAGCATTTCACTTATACCAGGCTCTGACAGCATGTCTTTATGCTCTAAATAGTTAGTACAAAAAAAAACAAGAGCTCATGTATTAAAATGGTTGTGTTTTTCCAAAGCGAAAGCCGCATGGTTTCATGAAACTGAGAGCATAATATCTGAAGCACTGTGATGATAGCCTTGAATACATTCTAATGACCTAGCTTGGTATTTCAATTTACAGTGATATACATAATGAAAAGCTGCCCGTCAAGATTTGACTGAATCTCACATGGGACATTACATTTCTTTAACCCTACTGGTTTGTTTTTTGTGAACGAAATCTGTGCTACGTTTATTGAAAGATATTCTGTACAGGCTTGCTCCATTCTTTATTCATCATGAAAAATCATGCTTCAACATAATGAGAATTTGTAATAATGTAGCGACATGGTCGAAATTCTTACTATTGTAATAATGCAAATTCAGTGCAATGTAAAATGTCACCTTTTTGTTGTCTGTCTTTTGGTTTATATTTTCATGTATCTCCTTATATTTCTTCTTTATTTGTGAAATGTCTCATGTAATTATGTTTAGAATACAGGAGAAACAGCTTTTGCAGTTATAATTAAATTGCTTTAAAACATATTATACATGAAGTTTTATAGCATATTAATGACTGATTTTTTTTAGCTCAGGTATGGAATGCATGTCTAATACATTGAAAAGCATGTTGGGTTACAATTTATTGCATGACCCAAAATATGAAATGAATGCTTTTGTGCATTATGACAATATGTAGAATTTTTATTTTGCCCATTCATTTTATTCTCATTAACATAGTGCTTTAAAATATGTGATTTGTTTTGTAAAAATTTATAATCAGTGTATGTAATCAGTATGAGATTGTTTTTATGCAGGTTTGCGGAAAACAATCACTGTCATTTGCTACAGGACTTTAAAATTTCAACGTATTTGAACAGGTGCCCATTACTACAGTAGTATATGGTGCCTCTGAAAACAGACAAGTGTAGCAAATCTGAATGCATTTATTTCTGCAGATTGTAATGCGTTTCAGAATCTATCAACACTTGATTAATAAATACAAATTATATTGTGCAGTAATTTTTATTTTTGGTTGATTGAAATGACAATAAATGATTCTTAAATATTTTATGAATACTGTGATGAATATTTATTGTGCTTGCTTAAACACACATTACACATGTTGATAATTGTTCAGAGAAAAATAACATTAAATAAAAATCTCTGAAAATGAAAATTTTCATTAAAGGCAAATAGTTGATATAGATTGATGAAATTCCACAATAACTATTTTCAAGACACGATACAATTTAGCTGTGAAACAGACTTATCTTTTATTAATTTTTACATTGCTTCAGCTTGAGCAGCCATTTGATATGAAAAGCTTTTGTAAGAAAGCATCATAACATGTTTGAATGTAACCTGATAAATTCACCAATCAAGCTTTTCTTAGTGTTATTGCTTTATTAATGTATATATTTATTATTATAGTATCGTTTTTATTTTTTAGTTATTATTATAATTTTTAAATTTTCTATATACAGTTGACTTTCGTCTTTAAGCAGAATATCGGGGGGAAAAAATTGCTACTCTTAAGAAGCTATTGATCAGTGATGGATATTATAATTATGATTTCCCCATCAAACTTGTAGCACGTTAGTAATGCGGCTGGCTGTAATGTGTGATGTGGCCTCACGATGGCATCAAAGGAATAAATGAGTTGTAAAAAAAGATTATTTCGAGTACGTTTTACAAGAAAATGCGATTACTATTTACTAGCAATTTTAAGTGTTAATTATTGCTACACTATTTTTTCTACAGTAAACAGTAAATACAGTGTTTAAATATAACGCATTTACATTTCTGTCTTTTCCCTCCGTATTACAGGGTGATAAATCGCTAATCAACTAGGACTCCAAACTAGTCATCTTTAATATTGTGAAATTCCATTCTTGTTTTTACTCTGATTTAGTGATTTTTCAGTTCCTCAATTTGAGTGAACTAAATTGATAAAATGCACAATTAAATAATGAATAATATTATGAAATAATAAAATATATTTTAAAAACAATATTTTACATTAATTGCTTAAAAAAATCATTAATATGTATTAAAAATATGATGATAGCTGAGACATCCTTGATACCCATCCTCCCCTACTTGTTTAAAGCAATCGTATTGCTAAGCCATAGTCTGTCTGGTGCATAACCATACAAAAATGAGAGAAAGCAAGCAGTACACTCACTGCACATAATTGCAAACATTCTTATTTTTGTTGGCTATTTCAACTGTCTATTGCTTTTTAACACTGAAGATGAAAAAAAAAGTATTGTACAAGCCGTAACATGCTAGTGGAAGAATATATTCACATTATGTTTGAATAATATGTCTTTTCCCCCAAAATACACGAGTGTGTGTTAAATATTTTCAGAGCAAGAAGAGCATGAAGGATTGTTTTTTAATATCTCAAATCCTAGCCTCGTTTTTTCGTTTAGTTTCAAGCACACCATTCACTTGCAATAGTGTGATTAAAATCAGCATTTTCTTTCTGGAATCCCTTTAGCAAGTGGCGGATCACACCTGTCTTTATTTCCAGTGCTGGAATTTCATTCAGCTATGTAATAGGCAGTGTGTGATGTGACTTCTGAAGACAGAGCTGGGAAATGCAGAGCAGAGAAGGATGTGCGTGAGAAGCTGAGAGGCGTTAACTTGTGGCCCTCAGGGCAAATGGCATTTCATACAGCAGTCTGTTTATCTTCCAGCTGATCACGCTTGAAGGAAAATAAGAAGCTCAGCCTGACAGCGCTGGCATTGCTTCAAAGTGTATGTGTGTTTGGCAGGGCTGGTAAAACACATGCATTTAGACACACCCCACGTGTCTTTCAATAGAAGGCTGATATTGTCTACAGTAAAAGTGATTCTTATCTATGACCAGTGGAATTTGTCAAGAGATAGCTTTCACTCTTAAAAATAAATGTTCTTTCCTGACAACTAGTTCCATGAGGAATCTTTAACATTCATCGAATCTTTCCATTGCACAAAAGTTTCTATGTAATGGGAAAAAAAAGATTCTTTAGATGATTAAAATGTTCAACACAAAACTGTTCTTTTCTTTGGGGAACCCAAAAATGGTTCTTTTACAGCATCACTACAAAACCCCATTTTAGAACCCTTTTTTGTTTGTTTTAAAGTGTAGCCTAAAATGAATATTTTGTTATCATTTACTCTCCCTCGTGTCTTTACAAATTGGTATAATTTTATTGAACGCAAAGCAGAAATTTTGAAGAATGCGCTGGTTGCTCTTTTCCAGTTAATTTCAATATTTATTAATGCATGATTAAAATCAAAGATGTATCTGTTAATATTACTCACCGGCTCTAAGCTAACAATGAACAGTTGTATTTTTGTATGAACAAATGTAAATGTAAAAAAACGTACCATAACAAATGTACTGATTATTGCTAATGTTAGTTAACGCATTAACTAACAAAAAGAAATTAAACCTATTATAAAAAGTTACCAAAAATCATTTGTTAAATTAAATAAAACTAAACTAAATAAAAATATTAGATATTGATATAAACATTAGAAATGGTACCTTGAAATTAGTTAAAGCTGAAGTACTAAAATGACTAAAATTTTAAGATAAAGCTAAATAGAATAACAAAAAACTAATAAAAATACCAAAAGCACCTAACAAAATAACTAAAATGAAAATGAAGATAGATAGATAAGATAGATACTACAACAGTATATAAATAATACTAAAATACCCCTGCTTTTAAGCATCAAAAAGGACACAAAAGCATAACATAAGACACATAAAATCATCATTAATGTGGTCTATATCAGTGGTACTCAACTCCGGTGCTGGGGACTCGCTGCTTTGTATGTCTCTTTTATATGACACACTCAGTTCAGTTCATGGAGTTCCCTCCTAACAAGCTGATCTGAATCAGGTGCATTACATAAGGAAGACTTACAAAATGTGCAGTGCAGTGGGTCCCCAGGACTGGAGTTGACAAACACTGGGTTATATATTATAATCCAAGTCACACATCAGCTTTGTATGAGGAACATGCTGTGTCCGGATCAACGAGTCGAGAAGCCGGATTAGTCTTCTCTCATGAACTTGCTAAGTAGAGCGAGGTCGGATGTCAAGATTTTCAGTGTGTAATGTTTTAAATACCAGTCTTAAAACAAATTCTGAAGACTTGAAAAATAGCACATAAGTCATACGATTAACTATTATGTTTTTTTTTTTTTTGTCATTCTGGTAGCCCTACAATCCCTCTTTATTGTCATGAAAAGCAGCTCTGGACATTCTGTAAAATAAATCTTTAAGTTCCACAGAAGAAAAAAAATCATACAGGTTTAGAACGGCCTGAAAGGTGAGCAAATTAAGATTTAAATTACTATTATAAACTTGCATACATATACAACACAAACAGCAGTAGTCGAATATAACCGCTTTATTATTTTCCCGACAGTATGTATATACACACACACACATACATACATATTGTAACAGAAACTGTACGTCTATAATCATAGCAAGACGCTCTCTCTCGCCCTCTCGAACAGGGTCAAGATGAAAACAGAGCAACCAAATAATTACACTGGCATCTCATCTGTACAAACCTGCCCCATAATGCCTCTGGCACAGACCTGCGCAAGATATGACTGATGGGAAACTCATAATTTAAGTTTATGAGAACTCCTCTTCTCGGAGTAATGCAAAAATAACTCCCAATACCAATAATACAAAAATCTCTGTATACGCATAGATAATCGCAGACGTTGCCAGAGTTTGAACAGTTTGTTATGTTTCCACAAATCATTGACATTTTGTGACCTGAAATAATATTCGACACGCCGTTTACTTTAACACAACATGCATTAGCAAGAAAAAATAACATATTAAAAACAAATTAAATTGTAAAAATTTAATTGGCATAAGAATGTCCAATACCAACTCACAAACATCCATTTACCCTAACTCTTATACAATATGGGTATTAACCGATATGAGTACACATATGTATT